CTCTAAAACAACAAGCAGACAAACAAAGGAGATTCTCTCCTTCACACCCCCCTCCAATAAAGTGCCCTCAGCAGCTAAAACCAAATCCCAAATATCGGAGACTCATAATGACATCGTGAGAGTTAGCAAGGCAGCAGCTCCCCTGGTGATCGTAACAACACCGGTGCTTGAGAAGAGTCTTTGCTTCAAGGCATCTGGAATTGCTCTTGCAAGATCCATTGTCAAATGAGCCTTTTCCTTTGTTTAAAAATGTCAGCCCGAAGACCCCTGCCAGAGTGGTGGTATAGCCTGCTTGGGTTCACTCTGGCTCCCACAAGGCTTCAACAGTCCTCTTTGCCCCTCCTTGTCTCCAGGCTTAATTAGGAAATCATTTATCTTTATTGGCACTCTCTTTCCCCTGCTGCTTTGGCATTATTATTTTTTTTTGCCTTCATTCCAGTGCAGTGAGCTGTACAGGGAAGACCACAGCCCCATTCATTGTGGGTGGGGAATAATCTACAACTGGGAGCCCTGCAAGGAAGACCCCAGCAATGAATCTGCTCCAACTGGTATCGCCTGAGGGACTACTGTACAGAAACAGGAGAGGAGGGTATCCCTTGGCTCCACTTACAGGCTAACAATAGGGATTCCTGGTGATACTGAAAGTAGGACACTACTCCCAAGGGATGTCATATGGTCAGCCTGTCCCAAACTGAACTGCCATCCCTCTCCAACCTAATGATACGCCTGCTTCATCTCCCTTGGTGAAAGAGCACACAAAGAGAAGGGGCTGTAAGGACAGCCACAGCTCGGGGACTATCAGGCTCCTGGACTCCAGCTGAGGATCTACATGTCCCAGGCTGAGCACTCAGCATGACTTCAAGTGGGGAAGGTTCTCCACACCTCCACAAACAGTAACTCCCTTGGCTTTCTTCACAGCTGGCATTTGACTGTTTGCCAGGATAGTCAGGGAGTCAAAACCCAACTAAACCTCACAGGAGCCAGAGGCATCAGTCAGATCACAGCCACACTCAGCTGAAAATGGCATCACTTTGGCAGCTCAGAGAGAGAACCACTCGCTAGGCTGTGCTTCCACTGCCACAGGCAATTCTTTCTGGGTAATTGCTCTAGGTTCCCCATCAACCGTGTTTTATTCAAATTGAGATGGAGATAAAATTCCGGCCAATAATTTCTTCCACCTTAAAGAGAAGTTTCTCCTTCGTGCAAGCCAGGCTTGCCCCAGCCTGTCACACTAATTACAGATGGAACATGTAGTTCAGAAAGGAGGAATCAGAATTGTTCCCCTCCCTCCAGCAAATATCCATTGAAAAAAAAAAACCTGACTCCTTTGCCTGATGGCACCAGAAGCTTTGCTGGTAAGTTTAAAAACAGGAGGGAAGATGATTGATGGAAAAGGTGAAGAGCTGACATGCAGTCAAATGCTCCTCTCCTCCTTACAACACATACATCCCTTATTTTTAAAGAGATCTCCTACTCTAGGGATCAGATGAAAACCTGATCATAAAATAAGAGGGCTTCAATTATGCCTTCCAGAGACCTCCAGGCTCTTTAAACTTATGGGGGGAGGAAAGCCAGGAATGAGTCACAGAGGGCAACCATGCTCTTCATATCTCCCATCCCATGCCTCTGCATGCTAAGGGTCACAGAGTTGCAGACAGATTCCAATGCAGAGCTGTGCCCAGCTCTGCCAGGGACTCACAGGGCCAAGGGAAACACCATGGACAACACCTCCACATCCTGGGGGGCTCCTTTTCCCTGGCTCCGGCAGAAAACTCCATCAGGTCTTTGGATCACACTTCTAAAGAAATGTTCCTGTGCACCTGGTCAGGTCCTGCATTGTCTGAGAAGCTTTTTGCCTTGTGTCCCTTCTCTGTGAAGGTCCCTCCCCAGTGCCCCATTTCTGACCCTCTGAGACCCCCACTCTACTCGGAACTGAAAGGAAGCACAGAGGATTATCTGGAGACCAGTGTTATTTCTTAAGTGGAGGCAGATGTATAAACCCCATCATTCTTGAATTAATCATCAGAGGGTAAGATTTCCTTTCAGAGCTTTACAGTTTAGGATGCTTATCCTTCCCTGGAGTCCTCTCCTAACATGCTGGAAGTAATGATTTACACCCATATCCCGTGTCCCTCTATTAAACTCAGCCCCACCAGCTACATAATGAAGACATCAGAGTCAAAAGGGCTCCTGGACCCTCAGCCTGCACTGAGCAATTTTTAATGTTTGTTCCATGCAGACAAGACTGGAATGAGGCAGGTCCAATGCCAGTGGACACTCTGCCTGGAGGGATTTTCAGCACTGAGACCCAGCAAACCCAGTGGAGGGGAGAAAGGTGGGAATGCCAGCCCAGGTAGGCACAGACCTGCTTGGATAAGTGTTCCTGCACTGCTGACTGCTTGACAAGGGCCAAATGCTTAACAGGGGGTTGTCATCTCAGAGCTGTCCCACAGAATCACAGAATCATTAAAGGTGGAAAAGACCCCTGAGATCATCGAGTCCAACCATTAACCCAGCACTGCCAAGGCCACCACTAACCCATGTCCCCAGGTGCCACATCTACATATCTTCTGAATATTTCCAGGGATGGTGATTCCAAAACTTCCCTGGGCAGCCTGTTCCAATTCCTGGTCACCATTTCGGTGAATAAATTTTCCTTAATATCCAGTCTAGCCTTCCCCTCCCTTGGCACAACTTGAGGCCATTTCCTCTTGTCCCTGCCCAACAGCTGCTTGAGCCCAGTCTCCATAGCCTGGTCCCAGCACAAGACAGGTGAACTCTCCACTCAGTAGCACATTTTAATGGCAGCAGGGAGCAGAAGCTGGAATGGGAAGTGATTCTAGGGATGCTTTGGGCTCACACCTTTGCTGCTGATGGAGTCTCAGGCACTGCAGGAGGCTTTCCTTAAAATGTTTATCCTTGGCTTGTTTTGCCAGCAGGAAGCCCTTCCAGCACACACACACATCTTTGGCCTGTCACGGGAAGGCTGAGAGCCAACGTGTTGCCATGGAAACTGGTAAATGCAAAATTATGACTTGACAGCAGTGTCCTGAGGAAAGAGGTTCAACCTTCTTCCATATGTTTCTGTCCCTGGCCCAGGGAGTGCGTGTCCCCCCTGCACCACTGTGGGTGGGATGCCCTTCTGTCCCTGTTTGTGCCAGACACGGGGTGCCAGGAGGCAAGGAAGGACTGTGATATGTGGGAACACAGCAGGGAGGTGCCGTGGGAGGATCCCACCCCAGGGAGTTTTGCTGGGTGTTTGGTGAGGGACATAGCTCCCCAACACCCCTGCCTGCCTGCAGGGGTGCAGTGTCCATGGGATGGACGGGCTTCCCACGCCGGGATACAGAGGGTGGTGCAGACATTTCTCCAGGGCATCCCAGCTCCAGAGCCCATCAGTAAACAAGCAAGGCCATGAGGCTGACAAGGGCCACAAAAACACTGAGGGCAGCAGAGGAGAGAGGCAGGCACAGCTCTGCTGCCTGCAAGCCCAGACATCCCTTCCTGAGTAGACAGCATCCAGTCATCCTGGATCTGCTGGTGCTTCCAGCACTGATCACCTCTGCCTCATCCCAAAACAAATCCTGGAGTTATTTTGAAGGAGTTCAACCATCTTGGGTGTGACTCTGAAATCAAACCCAACAGGACTGAAATCAAATTAGAATAACTGACAACGTCCCAGTCGAGCACTGACTGATTTTTCTAACTGATTTTTTAGTGGTTTTTAATTTTAAAAATTGCTACTCTATCAAGTCCGTAATAAGCTACTCTTTGCACACTCAGATATAACATATGTTAGCAAAGAATTAGTTTCAGGTTTTCCAAGGGGTCAGGCAGTTGCAAGCTGACTGCTGCTGCCTAGGTCAGGATATATGAATGTAACCATAGGGATGATCATGGGATAAATTTAAGATACATAATGTGTAAATATTTGCCCTTGAAAAATATCAACATGGATCCATTTATATTAATTCCCAGTGGGAACCCCTCAGCTTGAATGAGGTGGTCTTGAGAGTCACACTCACTGAGAGCAGTCACCCAAGAGCTTTGTTGCATGGGGAGTTTGGAGCAGCCTTGATGGAGCTTTCCCTGGATGCAGCAGTCCAGGGATTTGCATGCAACAAGGTCTCCACTGGTGATTGTGGTCCCTGGTCAGACAGTACTGTGATATACTCTTGCATCTCAGCCCTGGTTAGTCCAGAGAAGACTGAGAGGGGATCTCATCAATCCGTACAAGTATCTCCAGAGGGTGTCAAGAGGATGGTGCTGGACTCTTTTTAGTGGTGCCCAGCAACTGGACAAGGAGGAATAGCCATTAGTTAAAACACAAGAAGTTCCATCTTAACATAAGGAAGAACTTCTTCACGCTGAGGGTGGCAGAGCACTGGAACAGCTGCCCAGGGAGGTCACGGAGTCTCCCTCTCTGGATAGATTCCAAACCCACCCGGACACATTCCTGTGTAACCTGCTCCAGGTCACCCTGCCTTGGCAGGGGGTTTGGACTGGATGATCTCCAGAGGACCCTTCCATCCCTGACAATTCTGTGATTCTGTGATCCTTGCAGTTGCCTTAGATGTTCCTGCGTCCACCTAAATTCAGAAGAGAACAAACCAATTCCTCCCACAGGCCTGTGGGTGGGTGGTGAGGCGACAGCTGAGTTTGGATAACTTCTGCATCCAAACCACCCCCCACAGGTAAGCTGAGATGCCTCCAACCAGCCTACAGCTGGCAGGGAAAGCCTTGTCTCCCCAGGTAGCTGGGCACCTGCCTCTGATGACACTCTTACCCTGCTCCTCTCTCCACTACTCTCTGGGGACACTGGGAATCTTGCTCGCTCTCCCAGGCATGGTAAATGTGCTGAGTACGGGCCTGTGGCTCTGAGGAAGCCCCTCAGTGCTGCTCAGCAGTGACCTGGGGGGAGCAGCAGCACCTCCAGCCAGACAGTCCCTGGACCCAAACACTCAGTGAGCAGAGGCAGAGCAGCCCCATGTCATACTTACTTCCCATTCCCATACTTGATCCGGATGTCTTTGCTCTTCTTCAGCTCTTTGCCATCTTTAAACCATTTGTAGGATGGCTGAGGGTTGCCGGCAGTCGCCTCACATTTCAGGGAAATCCTCTCACCCACGTGAACGTTCGGGCTTTTCAGTTTCTTCAGTTTGGGGGCAACAGCTGCAAGAAGAGAAACGAGACACTGTAAGACCTGCCTCTTCCAGAGGCTGCACACACACAGCAGGAGCCCACCGAGCCCCCTGCCCTGGGAAAAGCACCTTCTGCCCCCACTGCTGCGTGATGAGGGAGAGGGGCTGCCCAGGGGGAACCAGCACGGTCAGGGAAGGAGCAGGGAGGCAGAAATGTCCATGTGGGGAACAGAGGGAGCCCCTGGCTCTGGGGGTTCCACATGACCAGCCCTGATGGTTCCATAGCTGCCCCTACCCACACAGGCAGGACCCCTGTGTCTCCTGCCAGCACAGGGGTTTGCTGGGCTCTCCAGGCTCTCCCACCAAGCTCTTCAGAGACTGTTTTCCCCTGTTCCCTGCCATTGCTGCTGCTGATTGCCAACACCTACATGACCCCTGCGGCTTCCATGGGCATGCTGCCAATCCCACAGCCTCACCAGCCCCAGCCAGAATGTTTTGCTGCAGAAGGAGCAGAGGCAGGTCACAGGGAGAGGTCCCCTGTTCCCCAGCAATGTGTCAGGGATGCTCCGTGCCTGCTGAGAAGACCTATGGTCATTGAGCAGGGCAGGGCCAGCAGCACTGAGAGGGGCTGCAATAAAAACCTGCATGTATAAAGGATGAGAAGGGGAAGGACAATCATTCTTCAGGCTGCAAGCAGAAAAGTGAAAGAATATAGGCATATAAAATTGTCTTAGGCCAGCAGTGTCAGGCTGGCCAGCAGCCTTTCCAGTCTGGAGCCTGGCTCTGTATGTGGGTGTTTCAGAGAAGTGATTTTTGCCATGCACCTGGAACATCAGACAGAGAGGGAGACACTTCTTATCAATCTCTGCCAGGCTTTATATCAAACCTGACAAGAAAGGATTAGCAGGCTTGCAATTTTTCTTTCAACTGACGGCTCTGCACTCTTCTAGCTCCCTCTTTCATTCTCAGCATTAACCTTAAAAAAACCCAGCAGCTTGCTGGTTTTGCCTTGAGAGTATTGGTACCGATGGTTTCCTTGTCTAAGATGAGTTACAAATGGAGCATTTCCTCTGTCTAACATGCACAAACCACCTTCTAATTGCCTCGTGCATTCTGATCTTGTGATATGGCAGAGCACTCAAAGGTGGAGGAACTGGATGGGTTTATTACAGCAATCACTATTTTACAGATCTTTGTATGTCTTGTTCTTCAAGCCAAGCTAAGTTTTCATAGATTGGTATTATTTAAAGACTGTTTTCACCAAAAGGGATCTTATAAAAGATAAAAAGCACAGTGATCATCAGGCTCCTGTGGTAGGAAGTTCTGAAGACTCTCATGTTCCTCACGGGAAGGAGAAGCTAAATTGTCCTTAATCAGAAAGATACAAACGCAGATAGAAATGGAACAATTTGGGGTAACAGGAATTAGCTGAGCAAAGCTCACGGTGACTGAAAGGCAAACCCAGAGCCCTGGGTGGGTAACACAGCAGGTCCAGTCCCAAGCACATCAGACCTTCCACTGCAGCCCCAGTGGTGCCACAGCAAAGGAGCAAACTGAAGATCCAGGAGTGCAAAGGATGTTTACACACCAAGGGAAAAGACAGTAAATAAATAGAACAATAAACCCCACCAAATATTCTTCACAACTGTTATTTTTGCATGCCCAAGCCCCTCTACAGGCTCCCCAGAAACCCATGCCACAGGCAGCAGGATGGGGACGGGGGGCAGGGGTAGGCTTGGTAGGATGAAGACAATGACTTTAAGCTGCAGGAGGGTAGACTTAGATTAGATTTTAAGAATAAATTCTTCCCTGTGAGGGTGGGGAGGTCCTGACACAGGCTGCCCAGAGAAGTTGTGCTTGCCCCATCCCTGGAAGTGTCCAAGGCCAGGTTGGACGGGGCTTGGAGCACCCTGGGCTAGTGGAAGGTGTCCCTGCCCATGACAGGGGGTGGAACGAGATAAGCTTTAAGGTTTTTTAAGGTTGATCCAACCCAAACCATTCCATGATTCTGATGGGACAGGGACAGTACAAAAAGCACCTGGTCAGCTGCAGGCAATCACTGCAGGCTGCACACTGATATCTGGCACTGCTTCCCAGGTCACTGTGCCTTGGCACAGAGAGGCCTCTGACCAAAAACCATCTCAAGCTTTCCCCAAGTCTCAGGAATTCAGTGAAAACCCAAGGTGTCGTGGGTTTTGTGAAGCCCATATCCCTGATCCTTGCCTGGAAATGGGTTGCCCAGAAGAGTGGGAAGGCAGGGAATGGAGAGGAGAGTTTGTCTCTTCTCAGAACACTGTGCATGGAGAGCCAGGAAGGTAAACAGGACCTTGCTTTTATAGGGGTTATTTTGGGGCAGAGAGAAATAGACTCTATCAAATATTTATTCTGTCTGATTGTGTGTGTCAGTTTGCTCCTATTGCACCCCGAGGTCACCCTGTCCCATGCCAACAGTATCCATATGCCTTAAATACTGGGAAGGTTCTGACCTTGGCAGGGGTGTATCTGCTTCATATTATTTCCAGCCTTGTGGTCTGCAGAATTATGAAGCACCTTTCTCCTGAGAGAAAGGTGTGCAACCCTGCCCCTCTCCCCCAAAATGCTAGCAAGAACAGGGCAAATCCCAGAAACCTGGAGACTGTGTAAGGAGACTGCCAAGGACAGGCAAGAAATCTTCCAAGATCTCCATTCCCCAGTTCCTCCCCACTAACATGAAGCACATCTCACCCAAATCTCTGCACCTCTTGCACCTTTTGCTCTTGGCCACTGGTTATAAATTCCAGGATATTCCTAAACAAGCAGGTCCCAAGAGGCACATGCCAAGGGTGGCAGAGGTGGATCTGACACTCACACGTTGCATCCCATCCCTGCAGCAGAGAGTCCTGCCCAGATAAAGGGAGGAGAACATCTTTCCTCCCCAGTCTGCATGGATTTGGTGTCTCACTACAGGGGCAGTGCATTCAGCTCCAAGCCACATGTCATGGACTGTAATTCCCCAGTTGAATCAGGCAGGGCAGTGAAAGGGGAATCCAGCCCAGAAATATTCTGGACTGTGCCTGGGAAAAGCGCTGTGCACAGAGAAGCAGAGCTGTGCTCCCTGACACACAGCACATCTGCGCCCTCACTGCTGCTCTGCAGTGTGGCTTGTGCTTGGACAGCAGCGTGGGAAGAGCAGGCAGAGCCCCAGGCCTGGGACACAGCACCCAGAGCCATGCTCTGGCCAAAAGGGAAGCCTGGCCTTGGTCTCCGGGAAGGGCTTCTCTGGGCTGGAAAGCCTCACTTCGTAATTCCTGCATCTTTCAGAAAAACACAGAAACCCTCATTTAGAGCCATTAACTGCTGATGACTCTGCTTAATTCCAGCCAAAGACTTTCCTCTGGTTTTTACTTGCATTGTTTAAACTGCAGCCCTTACTCATAGTATGAACTTCTCTAACTTTGGCTTCCAGCCAAGAGATCTCTCTGCCTTTCTCTGGTAAATTTGAACCCCATCTAGCAACCAGAAACCCCTTTCCTTTTTAGGTACTTGTAAACTATGACTGAATCACCTTTCAACCTTTTCCAGCAGTAAACTAAAGTAGCATGAGAGGCCAAAGCAGCACATGGAGTGCTAACACTGGAGTATGTCAAAGTTTTACATTTTGGTTCATTTTCAGCTTTTGCCTCATTTCTCATCTCTGCCCTGTTCAAATGACAGAGTTGCAGCTCAGAAAGCCATGAGTGTCATTCAAACAGATGTGAGGATCTTAAAAGTGCTCCCTTTATTTAGTGCTCTGAACATTTTGGGTCATTTTAATCGCCTCCTTGCTTGGTACCTTTTCAAACACTCCAGGAAAACAAAGTCCCCAGCTTAATTCGTATCAAAATAACACACTATCCCAGGCAAACAGGCTCAGGTGTATACCAGGCAGGGTCCAGGTCCAATTTCCCCATGTTTCCATCAATTCCCAGCTCCCCAGCCTTTTCCTCACAGGTTACTGCTGCTCAGATGGGATCAGAAATGAAGCACTGACCCAGGGTCACCCAAGTCACCTCATCCCCCTGGCACAGGCTGAGCTGAAGCTGCTGTTCCAGCTTTCCACCCTCTGGATCTCACAGAACTGCCCTGCCAGCTCATGGTCTCCTCCAAGCTGGGCTCCCCCTGCCTCCAGCTTCACCAAAACGGGAGGAGGGTTTTGGTTGTGCTTGTCAGACTGAAGATACAGCTTAGGATCTATCTCTGGTCACCCTGCAGTCCTGTCAACCCCTCCTCTATCCAAATTTGATCCTCCTCTCCACGGGGTGAAGAGCCACAAGCCTCACAACGCCTGAGGTGTTGGACAAAGGGACCAGCTGCATTCCAGGCAATTTTTCTAATAGACAACCACGCTGAGGGTGGGTTGTGCTGCAGAAAGGAGGGTTGCATCTTGGTAGAGCTGAGACCAGCAATAAACGCAGATTTTCTACAGGTTTTTGCTCACCCCGAGGTCAGATGAAACCCCAGCAACTGTTAGATCCCAGCCTACACTAGCTGGGTAGAATTAACCCTAAAACATGCCAGGGTCAGGATCAACAAATGCACATGATTTCCTAAACTGTTTTAGGAACCATGTTTGGTCAAGACACCTTTTCAAGAGAGGTTTATCCTCTGATAGCAACTGCTGCCAAGTCACCACCTTCTCACGGGGAAAAGAGGGTTACAAAAACCTAAACCAGTGAGCTCTAAACTACGCAACAAGGGTTGTTTGAACCTCCGCCATAAAAGGACTCCCATGTACACATTGCTTTAATTAATTCACTTCTGATTACATTTGATATAACACTGAAGTACCTTGATGACAACACCACCTCTTTCACTTCTGGTACCTGCAATATGCCTGCAAGCACCTCGGAGCCTCAGCTCAAAACATCATTAATCACGGGCGGGCAGAGTGCCCAAACAGAGTCCAACAATGGAGCGGTGACAAAACCACATCCCACCCACAGAGCATCCCTCATAAACAACCCATCAGCAGCAAAAAGCAGGAGCAGTCATCCTGGGAAAGGTGCTCTGTGA